TGGGTCACCCTGCCTTGGTGGGAAACGACTGACGTTTAAAAAACAAAATGTAATTTTTTCAAATTTTCAATCAGGGCAGAAAGTGATGAGTGCGAATTTAATGTAATGATCTGTTCTGGTTTTAATTCACAGTAATCACACTGGAATACAGAATAATTATAATTTTCTCTGAGTTATTATTCACTACAATTATTCTATATCATTGTAAATGAAATAAAAGTACTTCCTCGATAATTCAGAATTCCTCGAGCCAAAAAGTTTACAGTTTGTGGAATTATCTGGATTATATGAACAATCGTGTATATTATTATCATCATCATCAATTTAAGTTTTAAACCCAAAAGGGTCACAATCATGTACAGTATCACAAATACAGCCTCTCCTCACTGAGCGATGTACTCATTTACCAACGATTCGGACTTACAACGGGCTCTCTGAGCCGTATGCAAACCTAAATAATGTACAGTGGACCCTCGACATTCGATACTAATCCGTTCCTGAGAGCTATCGAATGTCAAATATATCGAAAGTCGAATTAATTTTCCCCATAAGAAATAATGGAAATCAAAGTAATCCGTGCAAGACACACAAAAGTATGAAAAAAAAAAAAAATTACCACATGAAATATTAAGTTTAATGCAATAGAATAATTACAATAACAACAATAACAATAGATTAATAACAATAGAATAATTGACACTAATAAAGATCTGGTGATGATTGATGGGATGGGAGGAGGGGAGTGTGTGGATGGTGTTAGTGTTTAGAAGGGAAATCCCCTTACATTAGGACTTGAACTGGCAGCCTCACCATGCCTTACCACACTGTGTATGCCACTACGATTCTTAAATCTTTCAAACCAACCTTTGCTGGCCTTAAATTCACTCACATCACCACTAGTTGCAGGCAATTTCTTTACCAAATCGTCATGCACTCCGACACATGCACTCCACTTTCGTACTTTGCAATAATCTTTCTTCATTTCAATAGTCATTAGCACCTTTTTTCTCGAAGGGTTGGCACTAGAAGCTTTCTTGGGGCCCATGGCTACTTATTTTGCAGAAACAAGCACCAAAAACAGTGATAATATGGATAATATGGAATGTACCGAATGTATCCTTAGATGCGCGCACACTGGCTGGCTTGTAAACACTGGCACACACGGTGCAGTTCAGGCCACACGTGGACACGTCTCGTACGAATCGTATCGAATGTTGGGTTTTCCATCGAATGTTGAGGCGAAACTTTTGTGTTAAAATGCATCAAATGTCGGATTTATCGAATGTCAATACCATCGAATGTCGGGGGTCCACTGTATTTTAAAGCGATTTCCTCTATTCTGTTTATTGTTATATACAGCACACTACGTACTGTATAAACATTTAAAAATATACCCAAATTTTAAAAAGGGTGCAAAGGGACATTAAAACAATTCAAAGACAGTTGCAAAAACCCCATCCATTAATATGCTCCCCTTAGCAAAAAATTTTTGTTTACCGATGTGGTCTTAAGAATGGAACTCCGTCGTTAAAGTGAGGAAGGCGACTCGTGTCTATGGGTTGAAGTGTAATTAACAGGTTTAGTTTACCATTTATGAACAATGTTACGTTCTCAATTGTGATGATGGTAGCGTATTTTGGGGTTAATTCCTCCTCTATAATTTTAAAAATGAACAAAAATTAAAAAATGAGAAATTTTTTTTTATTTAGCATTTCCCCCAAACACCAAAAGAATTTTACTTTTTTAATGCAAAATCGTAAAGTATGGATGAAGCTTATTTTAAAGCATGCTTTAACTTCTCTAACACCAGCAAGTGACTTCTGAATGCTTTTTGAATGCCATTATAATGGTAAAAAAGGAAATTCTAGAGATGTGACCAATACTTGTCATAGGCTTTATTTATTAACAGATAGTCCCAGTAACATGCTCATTTTGGTATTAAATGCTAAGTTTCAAACTATGGAGAACTATGGTAATTTCTAGGAGGAATGTATAGAAATCCAAATTATCGAGGTCATACGATAATGTGCCAACTGCAATAACATTAACCTTCAAAAAGTCAATTCATCTTTTTTTTTTGATATAAACTGTAAGTGAACATTTTGGTATTTTAAAATCCTATATTTGTATAGATACTTTTAAAAGCAAAAAAGTACAGTACTGTACATACCAAACCTTTAATATATTTTGTTACAGTACAAATGCCAATGTTTATATGTGAAAAACACTTAAAACCAGTGAATTAACTATGTGCATGCCTACTAGCAAAGACCATGAATATTGGACCCTCTTATGACATTAAAATCACAGTCTTTGCCAAAACAAAAACAAAATATGTTAAGATAACATAGCATGACTGTATGAGCTGGGTTATACAAACAACTTATAACAGAGTAAGCTTTTTATTAGACAAAGTTTTACTCAACTGAGCTTATTCAAGCCGTGAAAAAACCCCACTTGTGAGCAAAACATTGTTTAACAAAAGCCTGCTCTATTTTTGTATTTCCCTACTTTTTGGCATTTTGCCTTCAAACAACTGTACAGCTCAGGGACTGGAAGAGTTGCGAAAAGCCAAACAATTAAGAGTATGGACATCTAGATATATGCACTGCATGTCTCTCAGTATACATTCACTGAGTTTACTTTAATCCCTATTTTAGGGACTAAAGTAGTGGACATTTACAAGGTATTCACTGTGTGCACCTTTACCCAATACAGGTGAGTCCCACTTTACAGGCTTCCTTTTCAGAGTTTTGCTAATGCAGCAGTTTTCAGTTATACCCATTCTTCATTTATTCAATGCTGCATGACTCTTGTTGGTATACTGCTTTATTATTTGATTATAATAATAATAATTCATTTATTCAAACTTCCTACAATAAATATATTAACCACTCGCTATAAGCTAAGGACGAAAATATTTTGAGATAAGTAATGTGTGTACTGTATGTGCCTTTTTTGGCCTAGCTCTATTGTTCACTTAATATATGAGTGTATTTGCTTTACAGCAGTAGCCTGGAACCTAACCTGCTGTACAAGTGGGGCCTACCTGTAACTATACCAACTAAGCATCTCAAGACTGTACCTACCAAGCATCTCAAGCTGGCAAGCAGTTGGCTTACTTGGAAAGATTTGCATTCTACTTAATGTGACACATTGAACTACATTTCTAAAACTTTCAATACACTCATCCATACATTCATTATTATATAAGAGGCCTGAGAAAATGTAATTTTCTCTACGGAATATGCAGTGCTGCATCTCAATAGCTAATGTCTTAGTAAAATCATTACTCATCTTGTGCCGTAGTTTACACATGTGTCCCTATAACATTACTGTTTTCTTTACAGCTTATATCAGATTTTATATGGTCTATATTATGATGAAGCATCAAAGTGTGATGGACACTTGTCAGTGAATTGACGAATTTGACACTTAGAGACACAGTGTAGACTGTGCATTTTGATCTCCAGCTGAAATCTTCAGTAGTGACTTCTGGAGATCTCAAATGGAGATCAAAATATAGTCTTTCTACCCTGTGTTTGTCTCCATGAGTTTCCTCAATTAATCCATATTTTAAGAGGAAATAACTTGTCAAACTTCCTAGTTAACCCTTTGACTGTCGCGGCCGTATACATACGTTTGTGAGGTACCGTGTTTGACGTATATATACTCATAAATTCTAGCGGCTTCAAATCAGGCAGGAGAAAGCTAGTAGGCCCACATGTGAGAGAATGGGTCTGTGTGGTCAGTGTGCACCACATAAAAAAAATCCTGGAGCACGCAGTGCATAATGAGAAAAAAAAAACTCCGACCATTTTTTTTAATTAAAATGCCGACTTTGTGGTCTATTTTCGTATAGTATTTGTGGTTGTATTCTCGTTTTCATGGTCTCATTTGATAGAATGGAAACTATATTATAGAAATGGAGGTGATTTTGATTAATTTTACTATAAAAAGAACCTGGAAATGGAGCACAAAGTACAGGAAATGTTTGATTTTTGCCGATGTTCAAAAGTAAACAAATGATGTCATTGTCCAATAAATGTCCAAATAGCCATTCTAATACGCAGTCATGAATGGGTTGATGTAATTTTTACAATTATTACAGTATTGCAGTAGTCTGCATAACAGTAAATCTTCTATTTTTTGTTTGAATAAAATTTCAAAATAAAAAGCAAGAGTAATATCACAGGGACCTGGAGACATGACTGATGAACAAAGAAAATCTTATTTTAGAGCCAGGAATGTCTGCATTGTTCATTCTGGACCTTATTTTGAAATTGTCGTATTTTTTAATTTTCGTGAAATTGGCCAAATTGCAAATTTCTGACCATGTTATTGGGTAGTTGAAATCGGTAAATGGGCAGTTTCTTGTGCTCAATCGATAGAAAAAATAGAGTTCTGAAGAAATAGTTATGAGTTTGGTTGACTGGAATAACAGAATTAGCCAAAAATAGGGCTCAAAGTGGGCGAAATTGCCGATTTTTATATATCGCCGAAGTCGCTAACTTCGCGAGAGCGTAATTCCGTCAGTTTTCCATCAAATTTCGTTTTTTTGGTGTCTTTACAATCGGGAAAAGATTCTCTATCATTTCAAAAGAAAAAATCATTTTTTTTTTTTTCAAATATTTTGCGACACCAGGAGCAACTTCAGGATTGGGCCCTTCGACAGTCAAAGGGTTAAAAACACACCAACAACCAAAGCCCTTTAATCCCCTTACTAAATATTGTAGCCTTTAAAATTAACCCATTATTAAAAAGTTGTTATACTTTCAAATTTTCCGCTAAATCTATAAAGACTAACACCCTCGATCACAGCCATCTCGACTTCAAACCAAAAATATCACAGTCAATACTGCCATTATATTATATTATATATATATATATATATATATATATATAATATATATATTATATATATATATATATATATATATACACACACACACACACACACACACACACACACACACACACACACACACACACCACACACACACACACACACAACAATATAAGGCTTGCTGCTACATGAATTTTGGAGATTTAACAAAAACAAAAAATCTTAAGATTTCTCTGTAAATGTTTGATATTAGACATACAAGACAAAAAAAAATTCACAATACACAAATAACCCGCACATAAAAGAGAGAAGCTTACGACGAGCCGCACATAAAAGAGCTTCTCTCTTTTATGTGCGGGTTATTTGTGTATCGTTCCAGTCACGGTATTGTGCCTTTTTGTTATTTAAAAAAAAAATTGTCAGAACCAGTGCAGTAAATACAATTAGGCATTCAGATAACCTTGTTTGTCTTCAGTGATCTCCTTTTGTGTTATACTGGAAGACTAAAAAGTAAGTTTTTGGTTTCCAATAATTTGCTAAATCCCATTTAAAATTCAAAAGAACCAGCAACAAAGTGAACCTTCCTTAGCAATCTTCCTTTACTTACATGTTTAATTCCATTATTTGATCATTTTACACTAAAATTATTCCCTTTTTAATGCTATTCATTACAAATACAGAGACTAATTAGTTATCACAGAGAAAAAAATGTGCAGCATATTATTTTTAAGCGAGTAATAAAGCACCTAACTAATTTGAGCTTGCATTTCTCTTTCGAATCAAGATTATTATGTCACACTATACCCAAAGTTATACTCTGATAATAGTTTAATACCAAACTTCTGTAAAGGGAAGATCATTGGTTTATGTACTTCTTCCATACCCACTAAATCCCCAACTACTGAACTTCATTTAGGTGCAACACAAGACTAAGAATACCTTCTGGCACTCATTCTAAACATGTCTAGCAACAGGAAGAGTACCCTTAATATACATCACAACAAACAAAAAAAGAGTATCCACAGTGTATAGCATATTAGAAATGGTACCCAAAGCTAGCAGCACACTGGACAGAACATGTATACTAACAAGAAACAATATACTGGACAGAAAGGTTACCCAAAATCAAGTGTACATCATGAAAAAAAGGTACCCTTTGGAAGTAGTACACTTGACACTAAACCTTTAAAGAAGCATGTCAATACACAATATACAATACACAATACAGTTATTTAAGCATGTCAATATATCTGTATAGATATGCTTCCTTTAAGGAATAAATGTAATCCTATATTATAATTACAATATTGCTGTATTATAATAAAATTTATCTAAATTTACAGTAGCATATTATGAAGTACTGAATACTGCTAAAAAAAAAGGTTCTCAAAAAATCAGATATTGTTATGACTTGAAAATAAAGAAATTTCAGTGAAGAGTATTCCACCTGACTTAGAGATTTTAATGATTAAGTTCCATGCTGATGTCTTGAGATCTGTGAGAAACATTAAGTTATATTGAAATTCATGTAAAATTAGTTACTATAGCCTTAAACAACTATTACAAATTTATGAACACTAAGCTTATTTAACAAATGAATAAAGTCATCAGAAGATTTTCATGTTTCACAGAAATTAGTGACATGGTCAGAACATTGGATATAGCAAAAGATGTGTACACAGACCTTTTCTTTATGCAATCAAGATATTTGAAAAAGAGACATGGACAAAATGGCTTTAAATTTGGGCACTAACTGGCCAAACATAAAAAAAAAAATAAATGTAATGAAATTTAATAAAATACTAGGTGCCTACAATAAAAAGAGCATCTCCTATGCACTGATTCCACATAGTAATAGCTGAGAAGAGAATCAGTGTTAAATAATACAAAGTCATAAATTAAGATTTAAAGCTGTTATAAACATGCATTGTCAGTAGCTTGTGTTTGAAGATTGATAAAAGGGTCACACTAATCATGCCATGACCTCAGGCTCTACAAATTAGTACAAAGCCCACATTAAGCCATGACCTCAGATTTCTACAGATAAAATGAGATATAACTGTTGAATTATTAAGAGAAACACTAATAGCCAAACCACAAATTCATGCTCAGCCCATTAGTACGAAGCCATCATCAACTTTCGTGCCATGCAGATTTACATCTCCGTGTCAATAGAGTTATAATGCAGATGGTTTGTCCGTGCAGCATCCAAAGAGTCACTATTTGTATCCAGCCCAGAGTCATTAAGAGGGTTCCTCTGTTTGATAGCTCTATTAAAGGATTATAAGAATTAGGACTTGCTTAGAAAAATGGAACAGACAAAAATTTCTACAGATAAAAAGATTTCTACAGATAGAATATAAGTGACTATTATTATAATCTTCAGTTAAAATAGAACAATTACAAGATAAAAAGCATCTCGTCATTACGTGTTCTTTCCTTTATCCAGGAGCTTTATCAAGCCGTAACGGCTTGATAAAGCTCCTGGAGAGCAAAACATTGCCACAATAAAATGTCACATTAGTTGCACTAGTGTCCTTTTACTTAACATAATGTTGAGTAGCAATAATGTTGAAAGATAAGTTATGGCAGGAAAAGAGGGAATATAAATGTATAAATTCAAGGATTATGTGGAGTAAAATAAGGGATTGATGTGAAGTGGGTTATAGTAAGTGTTTATGCACCTGGAGAAGAGAGAAGTGTAGAGGAGAGAGAGAGAGATTTTGGGAAATGTTGAGTGAGTGCATGGGGAGTTTTGAACCAAGTGTGAGAATACTTGTGGTTGGAGATTTCAATGCTAAAGTGGGCAAAAATGTTGTGGAGGGAGTAGTAGGTAAATTTGGGGTGCCAGGGGTAAATGAAAATGGGGAGCCTTTAACTGAGCTATATGTAGAAAGAGGTTTGGTAATAATACATATTTTATGAAAAAGATGATAAATAAGTATACAAGGAATGATATAACACATAATGAAAGTAGTTTGTTAGATTATGTGTTGGTGGATAAAAGGTTGATGGGTAAGCTTCAGGATGTACGTTTATAAAGGGGCAACTGATATATTGGATCATTATTTAGTTGTAGCTACAGTTAAAGTAAGAGGTGGATGGAACAAAAGGAAAATGGCAACAAGAGAGGTGAAAGTGCATAAACTAAGGGAGTATGAAGTTAGGGTGAGATATAAGCAACTATTGGCAGAAAGATAGGCTAGTGCAAGTAGGAGTTGTTGGAGGGTTGAAGAGGGTTGGAATAGTTTTAAAAATGCAGTATTAGAATGTGGGGCAGAAGTTTGTGGCTATAGGAGGGTGGGTGTAGGAGGAAAGAAGAGTGATTGGTGGAATGATGAAGTAAAGAGAAAAAGGTAGCTTATGAGAGGTTTTTACAAAGCAGAAGTGTTATAAGAAGAGCAGAGTATATGGAGAGTAAAAGAGAGGTGAAGAGAATGGTGAGAAAATGCAAAAGGAGAGCAGATGATAATAAAATGTATGAAAGAGGGGAAGGTACCTAGAGACTGGCAGAGAGCTTGTACAGTACCTTTATATAAAGGGAAGGGAGACAAAAAAGATTGTAAAAATTACAGGGGAATAAGTTTACCGAGTATACCAGGAAAAGTGTACGGTAGGGTTATTAATGAAAGAATTAGAGGTAAGACAGAGAGTTAGATTTTGGATGAGCAAGGAGGCTTTAGAGTGGTTAGGGAATATGTGGATCAAGTGTTTACATTGAAGCATATATGTGAACAGTACAGTATTTAGATAAAGGTAGGGAAGTTTTCATTGCATTTATGGATTTAGAAAAGGCATAGGATAGAGTGGATAGGGAAGAAATGCAGATGTTGCAAGTACATGTATATAAAATAGGTAATAAGTTACTAAATGCTGTAAAGAGTTTTTATGAGGATAGTGAGGCTCAGATTAGGGTGTGTAGAAGAGAGGGAGATTACTTCCCAGTAAAAGTAGGTCCTAGACAGGGATGTGTAATGTCACCATGGATGTTTAATATATTTATAGATGAGGTTGTAAAAGAAGTAAATGTTAGGATGTTGGGGAGAGGGGTGGGATTAAATTATGGGGAATCAAACACAAAATGGGAGTTGACACAGTTACTTTTGCTGATGATACTGTGCTTATGGGAGATTCTAAAGAAAAGTTGCAAAGGTTAGGGGACGAGTTTGGGAGGGTGTGTAAGGGTTGAAAGTGAAAATAGATAAGAGTAAGGTGATGAGGGTATCAAATGATTTAGATAAAGAAAAATTGAATATCACATTAGAGAGAGGAAGCATGGAAGAAGTGAATGTTTTCAGATATTTGGGAGTTGACGTGTCAGCAGATGGGTTTATGAAGGATGAGGTTAACCATAAAGCTGATGAAGGAAAAAAGGCGAGTGGTGCATTGAGGTATGTATGTCTTCTTTCAACACACCGGCCGTATCCCACCGAGGCGGGGTGACCCAAAAGGAAAAACGCAAGTTTCTCCTTTTACATTTAGTAATATATATAGGAGAAGAGGTTACTAGCCCCTTGCTCCCGGCATTTTAGTCGCCTCTTACAACACGCATGGCTTACGGAAGAAGAATTCTGTTCCACTTCCCCATGGAGATAAGAGGAAATAAACAAGAACAAGAACTAGAAAGAAAATAGCAGAAAACCCACAGGGGTGTGTATATATATGCTTGTACATGTATGTGTAGTGTGACCTAAGTGTAAGTAGAAGTAGCAAGTGGTATGTATGTGTAAAGACAAAAAACATTTTTTATGGAGGCAAAGAAGGGAATGTATGAAAGTATAGTGGTACCAACTCTCTTATATGGGCATGAAGCTTGGGTTGTAAATGATGCAGCGAGGAGGTGGTTGGAGGCAGTGGAGATGTCCTATCTAAGGGCAATGTGTGGTGTAAATATTATGCAGAAAATTTTGAGTGTAGAAATTAGGAGAAGGTGTGGAGTTAATAAAAGTATTAATCAGAGGGCTGAAGAGGGGATGTTGAGGTGGTTTGGTCATTTAGAGAGAATGGATCAAAGCAGAATGACATGGAGAGCGTATAAAACTGTAGGGGAAAGAAGGCAGGGTAGGGGTCATCCTCGAAAAGGTTGGGGGAAGGGGGTAAAGGAGGTTTTGTGGGTGAGGGGCTTGGACTTCCAGTGTGTGTGAGCGTGTTAGATAGGAGTGAATGGAGACGAATGGTTTTTGGGAACTGACGAGCTGTTGGAGTGTGAGCAAGGTAATATTTAGTGAAGGAATTCAGAGAAACTGGTTATTTTTATATAGCTGGACTTGAGTACTGGAAATGGGAAGTCCAATGCCTGCACTTTAACCCGTAATCAGTCCAAACGTACATATATGTTACCTACCGTAGTGCCCCAACTTTTTTGAGAAAAAAAAAATAGTTTGTTTTTAATAGGAAAAAAGAGCATATGGTACCCAGGCATCCCCAATTAATTTAATATGGCGCACAGTGAGTGTGCACACCCATTCTCTCATATCTAGGTGACTCAGGCTTATCATGGCAATGATAAATGTATGACCAATAAAACGTATATATACGTCTGGGGCACTAGCGGTAAAAACGTATAGTATATACATTTGGACCGTTTACGGGTTAAAGGAGGGGTTTGGGATATTGGCAGTTTGGAGGGATGTTATAAATCTTCATATATGCTTCTAAACTGTTGTATCTGGGTGCCTCTGCAAAAACGGTGAATATGTATGAGTGAGGTGAAAGTGTTCAATGATGATGAAAGTATTTTCTTTTTGGGGATTTTCTTTCTTTTTGGGTCACCCTGCCTTGGCGGGAGACAGCCGACTTGTTAAAAAAAAATTGTTGATAATTCTAACAACATTAATACAATTAAAATGGTGCCCTGACAGAAGATGAAAAAATAAACATTATTTATAGTATGTATATATATTAGTATGTATATATATTAGTAGTAGGTTGGTAGACAGCAACCATCCAGGGAGGTACTACCGTCCTGCCAAGTGAATGTAAAACAAAAGCCTGTAATTGTTTTACATGATGGTAGAAGTGCTGGTGTCTTTTGTCTGTCTCATAAATATGCAAGATTACAGGTATGTCTTGCTACTTCTACTTACACTTAGGTCACACTACACATACATGTACACATTTATTTATACACACTCATCTGAGTTTTCTTTGATTTTATCTTAATAGTTCTTGGTCTTATTACTTTTCCTTTTATATCCATGGGGAAGTGGAATAAGAATCTTTCCTCCGTAAGCCATGCGTGTTGTAAAAGTCAACTAAAATGCCGGGAACAATGGGCTAGTAACCCCTTTTCCTGTAAAGATTACTAAAAAGAATAATAATAAGAAAATTGTCAAAGTGGGAAGTCTGAATGTGCGTGGATGTTGTGCAAATGATAAGAAAGAGATGATTGTGGATGTTATGAATGAGAAGAAGCTGGATGTCCTGGCTTTAAGTGAAACGAAGCTGAAGGGGGTGGGAGAGTTTCAATGGAGAGGAATAAATGGGATTAGGTCAGGGGTTTGAAATAGAGTTAGAGCTAAAGAAGGAGTAGCAATAATGTTGAAGGATAAGCTATGGCAGGAAAAGAGGGACTATAAATGTATTAATTCAAGGATTATGTGGAGTAAAATAAAGATTGGATGTGAAAAGTGGGTTATAGTAAGCGTGTATGCACCTGGAGAAGAAAGAAGTGTAGAGGAGAGAGAGATATTTTGGGAAATGTTGAGTGAATCGTGGGGAGTTTTGAATCAAGTGTGAGAGTAATGGTGGTTGGGGATTTCAATGTTAAAGTGGGTAAAAATGTTATGGAGGGAGTAGTAGGTAAATTTGGGGTGCCATGGGGAGCCTTTAATTGAGCTATGTGTAGAAAGAGATTTGGTAATAAGTAATACATATTTTATGAAAAAGAGGATAAATAAATATACAAGGTATGATGTAGCATGTAATGAAAGTAGTTTGTTAGATTATGTATTGGTGGATAAAAGGTTGATGGGTAGGCTCCAGGATGTACATGTTTATAGAGGGGCAACTGATATATCGGATCATTATTTAGTTGTAGCTACAGTTAGAGTAAGAGGTAGATGGGAAAAGAGGAAGGTGGCAACAAGAAGTAAGAGGGAGGTGAAAGTGTATAAACTAAGGGAGGAGGAAGTTCGGGGGAGATATAAGCGACTGTTGGCAGAAAGGTGAGCTAGTGCAAAGATGAGTAGTGGGGGGGGGGGGTTGAAGAGGGTTGGAATAGTTTTTAAAAATGCAGTATTAGAATGTGGGGCAGAAGTTTGTGGTTATAGGAGGGTGGGGGCAGGTGGAAAGAGGAGTGATTGGTGGAATGATGAAGTAAAGGGTGTGATAAAAGAGAAAAAGTTAGCTTATGAGAGGTTTTTACAAAGCAGAAGTGTTATAAGAAAAGCAGAGTATATGGACAGTAAAAGAAAGGTGAAGAGAGTGGTGAGAGAGTGCAAAAGGAGAGCAGATGATAGAGTGGGAGAGGCACTGTCAAGAAATTTTAATGAAAATAAGAACAAATTTTGGAGTGAGTTAAACAAGTTAAGAAAGCCTAGGGAAAGTATGGATTTGTCAGTTAAAACAGAGTAGGGGAGTTAGTAGATGGGGAGAGGGAGGTATTAGGTAGATGGCGAGAATATTTTGAGGAACTTTTAAATGTTGAGGAAGAAAGGGAGGTGGTAATTTCATGCACTGGTCAGGGAGGTATACCATCTTTTAGGAGTGAAGAAGAGCAGAATGTAAGTGTGGGGGAGGTACGTGAGGCATTACGTAGAATGAAAGGGGGTAAAGCAGCTGGAACTGATGGGATCATGACAGAAATGTTAAAAGCAGGGGGGGATATAGTGTTGGAGTGGTTGGTACTTTTGTTTAATAAATGTATGAAAGAGGGGAAGGTACCTAGGGATTGGCAGAGAGCATGTATAGTCCCTTTATATAAAGGGAAAGGGGACAAAAGAGATTGTAAAAATTATAGAGGAATAAGTTTATTGAGTATACCAGGAAAAGTGTATGGTAGGGTTATAATTGAAAGAATTAGAGGTAAGACAGAATGTAGGATTGCGGATGAGCAAGGAGGTTTCAGAGTGGGTAGGGGACGTGTAGATCAAGTGTTTACATTAAAGCATATATGTGAACAGTATTTAGATAAAGGTAGGGAAGTTTTTATTGCATTTATGGATTTAGAAAAGGAATATGATAGAGTGGATAGAGGAGCAATGTGGCAGATGTTGCAAGTATATGGAATAGGTGGTAAGTTACTAAATGCTGTAAAGAGTTTTTATGAGGATAGTGAGGCTCAGGTTAGGGTGTGTAGAAGAGAGGGAGACTACTTCCTGGTAAAAGTAGGTCTTAGACAGGGATGTGTAATGTCACCATGGTTGTTTAATATATTTATAGATGGGGTTGTAAAAGAAGTAAATGCTAGGGTGTTCGGGAGAGGGGTGGGATTAAATTATGGGGAATCAAATTCAAAATGGGAATTAACACAGTTACTTTTTGCTGATGATACTGTGCTTATGGGAGATTCTAGAGAAAAATTACAAAGGTTAGTGGATGAGTTTGGGAATGTGTGTAAAGGTAGAAAGTTGAAAGTGAACATAGAAAAGAGTAAGGTGATGAGGGTATCAAATGATTTAGATAAAGAAAAATTGGATATCAAATTGGGGAGGAGGAGTATGGAAGAAGTAAATGTTTTCAGATACTTGGGAGTTGACGTGTCGGCGGATGGATTTATGAAGGATGAGGTTAATCATAGAATTGATGAGGGAAAAAAGGTGAGTGGTGCATTGAGGTATATGTGGAGTCAAAAAACGTTATCTTGGAGGCAAAGAAGGGAAAGTATGAAAGTATAGTAGTACCAACACTATTATATGGGTGTGAAGCTTGGGTGGTAAATGCAGCAGCGAGGAGACGGTTGGAGGCAGTGGAGATGTCCTGTCTAAGGGCAATGTGTGGTGTAAATATTATGCAGAAAATTCGGAGTGTGGAAATTAGGAAAAGTTGTGGAGTTAATAAAAGTATTAGTCAGAGGGCAGAAGAGGGGTTGTTGAGGTGGTTTGGTCATGTAGAGAGAATGGATCGAAGTAGAATGACATGGAAAGCATATAAATCTATAGGGGAAGGAAGACGAGGTAGGGGTCGTCCTCGAAAGGGTTGGAGAGAGGGGGTAAAGGAGGTTTTGTGGGGAAGGGGCTTGGACTTCCAGCAAGCGTGCGTGAGCGTGTTAGATAGGAGTGAATGGAGACAAATGGTACTTGGGACCTGACGATCTGTTGGTGTGTGAGCAGGGTAATATTTAGTGAAGGGATTCAGAGAAACCGGTTATTTTCATATAGTCGGACTTGAGTCCTGGAAATGGGAAGTACAATGCCTGCACTTTAAAGGAGGGGTTTGGGATATTGGCAGTTTGGAGGGATATGTTGTGTATCTTTATACGTATATGCTTCTAAACTGTTGTATTCTGAGCACCTCTGCAAAAACAGTGATTATGTGTGAGTGTGGTGAAAGTGTTGAATGATGATGAAAGCATTTTCTTTTTGGGGATTTTCTTTCTTTTTTGGGTCACCCTGCCTCGGTGGGAGATGGCCAACTTGTTAAAAAAAAAAAAAAAAAAAATGTATATATATTGGAAGGACTCATTTCTTCTGGCCCTTCCTTGATGCAGACACACACACCAGCTTTTTAACAGAATCTAACCTATTGAAACTAACCTTACTCTTGCACTCTTCCCTACCCCCTCACTCACTCCTACCCTTTGCACATCCCTCTCTATAGTACTGTATGACCCTTTCAGATTTAGTGCTTAACTTGATTATATCATTATTATTGTGGTTTCTTCTGGAATGAAAGTGGCAATAACATATTTTCCACATAAATATTGTATAAACCAGTGATAACTTTGTCTTCAGTAATTGAAAGACTGAATTTGATAGTATGTGCATATAGAGTCAATACTATGCTAATACTGTAATAGTCCTAATATATGTTTATTGTATCATCGTAACTTTCAGGAACTTACCATACCTGGAGAAGAACTTTTAGAATTTGACAAGAAAAGAATTGTGGAGGAATCAACCCATGCATCTTCCTCATGTGAGGCAGTCACTTCTAATGTAACAGTGAGGCCAAGATATCTAGTAAAAGATCTAGTTAGGATTATTGTAATACTGGGTGATGCAGTGGTAAAGTATTTACCACACACACTAGGGATGTGCATAGGTCAACTGCCACACAATTCCACTCTCCTCATTTTCTTAAAGTTCCTCTCCAGGTATGGTCATTTCATGAAAATCAATGATATAGTAATCACAGGTATTAACATCAGTAAACACCACTACTAAATTATAACTTAAATACAGACTAAGGTAAATAGTTACTGTTAATAGCCCATAAGTATGGTAAAGTATATGTGGGAACTCCTTTTATTCCAGAACAAATCTTTGGAGAAATGTCACACTTGTGATGCCTTCAACCCTTTAAAATACTTACAATACAGACTCAAGCAAATGTTGAGGTGTGTACATAGCTTGCCACTGACATTAATAAAATTATTCCTACAGAAGTAACAATACTGCACTCTGAACATCCATGGGCATAGGAAAGTATTTCCTTCAAACCACTATCCAAAACACACAATGACTCCATACTCAGCCTAACTTGTACCTCACAAGGACTCTTTCCTGACAGTCAAACTGGGAGTATTCATTAATACATTCTGGGGCAAATAAGACTAACAGGCACAGCAATCTACAATATTAATAAGAAATTTGCCAGCAATATATAGAAATGTTTACTACTACATTGATCTGCAAGCTTTGCATGCAGTGGTGGAATGCAAAGATCTATATTATACACTACTTTATAATAAATATGCAAAAATCCATGCATGTATCTTTGATCAAGGCAGAATAGTAAATCATATGTGAACAGAAATAGCTAAATGAAATAATTACAGCATATACAGTAGACCCCCGGTTAACGATATTTTTTCACTCCAGAAGTATGTTCAAGTGCCAGTACTGACCGAATTTGTTCCCATAAGGAATATTGTGAAGTAGATTAGTCCATTTCAGACCCCCAAACATACACGTACAAACGCACTTACATAAATACACTTACATAATTGGTCGCATTCGGAAGTGATCGTTATGCGGGGGACACTGTACTATATGTTAATACAGTCAAAGTTTACTATGGTGAATAGACCCTACCTATCATTCCATGGAATTTCTATTCCCATTTTTTTTTTTTTTTTTTTTTTGTACTCCAGTTCAGAAAATAATGAAATCTGGGAGCAGAGCTCATGAGTCACAGATATCCCGACTCAGTTACACACAACGAGCAACTGGACATAAAACAAAATTGACAGATGAGTTTATGAATGAAAAACCTGGAATATTGAGTGAAGAACTATACTGTACAGCAGAGTGCTTCTCACCTATTTAGATTTGTCGTGTCATCTCCAACACTGAGCTGATATGTTGCTGTACTCAGATGCTGGGATATGAACTGTGTAAAAGGGAAATGCAAAATATTAATAATTTAATGAGTTATATTTTGTAATTATTCAAAGTAAAATACAGTGCAATATACATGGTGATATAAAATATTCATCAAATTCATTTTCTATGTCAAAAACTAAAACACTGATTTTTTTTAAATATTTCTAAAAAGTAATATTCATTATATTTATATTCTAGACAAATACTTCTAAAACACTTTTAGAACCATTCTCACATATACCGTATTTTGTGGCTTATAAGACGCGGCTTATAAGACTTGTTTTAGTTTTAATGGCTTGGCATCAGACATAAATGGGAGAGCTACAGCCTACCCCACACCCCAAACTTATAGCTCCTGTCACTGACCTTCAGTTTATAGGACGCAGGGTGGTTTTTGGAGATATTTTATGGAAAAGAAAATGTGTCTAATAAGCCGTGAAATACGGTATATATATACAGTGCATAAAATGCTGTGAAAAGGAATGGGTTTTTCATAACAATACATTTTGAAGAACTAAAAATATTTTCTCTGTACCTCAGGAATTATCACTCTTCAATTTTAACCCTAATAACAGTTTAAACCTACTATTTTTCACTAGTCTCAGACATCTTACTATTTCCACTCAGTTTTGGACCTCCTACAGCATTCCCTTCTCTACCAGATTCTCAAATGGCAGAGGATGCTGAATTGGAAGTGTCCCAGCAATTTGGACCCACTGTTACAAATCATAGTAGCTGGCATATAAAAAGTGGCAGTCTTCAGGGTTCATCAAACCAAGTCAAGGAAAATATCTTTCATTCTTTGAAACCTACTATTCTATCTTCAGGTAAACCTCTCAGGAATCCTACTAGCAAACTCTCCCTTCAACATACAGTCAGCTCTCTCAAAAAGCTCCTCTATACAGTGTGATTTTTCAAAATGTAATTGAAAAATGCATCCAAAATTGAATAGCACATAAAATAATGGCCTTTGAACATGCTGTTCAATTTTGCATGTACTTTCTCAACTGCATTTACATAAAAATGCACTTTGCTAAAAACTGCACAAAAACTAAACAGGTGAATCTTATAAGAGAACTTACTGTACCATAATCTAACAAACTTTAGAAATACAGAACAATATTTACTGGGTCAAATGATTTGGAAACCATGGATGAAGTCCCTGTTTAAAGAACTGTCCACTATTGCTCCAAACATGTCTAAACAATCTCATCTCCATCTACCACAAATGACACTATTGACCAACTGCTTCCCTCTATTATATGAGGCAGCTGTAACTGCTTTATCCCAAAACTTATTAACATGGAATTTCACCATAATGAAGTTAACTGTATAAAAAAATCCTCCTTAAAGGTCTGTCTAGTTCTTAAGTATTCTTTAAACATTAGGATTATTTTCCCCAAAATGCATCTGCATACTAGTAGCTTTCTTTTGCAGATAACAATGTTTAATTACATGTAAATTACATTATCTTTGTACTGCATAAAAAGTAAAAACAAATCTGAATTTGAACTGAATTTGATTTCTGGTAGTTCAAACAGGACTTTTTCTGCAGAAAGAACCCAAGCCCAGAGCCAAGCCTCATTATTACTCAATAAATCTCACATGACAAGAACAGGGAAGAGCAGCACTGAACACACCACCTCAGTATTAATGTAGATTAAAATTATTTTTTAAGCTTAAATTCACACAGAGCAACATAATTTTGTGATTCGAAATAAATTTCAACCATTGTCAGGCATGCTGGTGAGTGATGGATTATAGGAAATGAGAGAGAGCAAAGATCAGAAATGTGTGCACTGAAGGAAGCTGTTGGCAGAGACTTTATTAATTTATTCTATATTTAAATAGAATCCAACATTAATATACTCTTTGAGTACTAGTACAGTACTTGATGTGTAATTTTGCCATTGTTGTATAAAACAGAACCAGCAAGAGTGAATAAAAACAGTACAAGGTAGCTGATGGAAGGGACAACAAGATACCATGACTCCATCCAAAAGAAAAAAAAAATAAATTTTAACACACTGGCTGTCTCCCACCAAGTGGGAGATATGACACTTAAATCATAGAAAACATTGTGCACATTTTAATCCAAAATGAGCGGTGGGGATGTTGCAGTTCAGAGAATAATTTGAACTGTGATGTTATCACATTTCTGGTAAGAGTTACTGAAGGAAAGATGATGAATACATTTCTTTTTCAAGTCACCTTACCATGTGGGAGATAGCCAGTGTGTCCAAACAGTCCTAATCTAACTTCTGCCACACTATCATAAATTATGTTATAATTATCCATCCCCATACTGCCTACTGTGATCATCTTCTTTCAGCAAACCGGCCATATTCCACTGAAGCAGGGTGACCCAAAAAGAAAAACAAAAGAAAAACAAAAGTTTTTCTTTTTAACTTTAGTAATGTATACAGGAGAAGGGGTTACTAGCCCCTTGTTCCCAGCTCCCAGCATGTTAGTTGCCTCTTATGACATGCATGTCTTACAGAGAAAGAATTCTGTTTCACTTTCCCATGTGATATGTCTATTAAAATTTAATTCTACAATTTTTGTGCATATTGGCCCCACCTCTTTATTGGTTGCTACTAGGTTCACTTTCTCCTGGTTTTTGAGTCTTATTGTACCTCTTCTTAAAGCTACCTTCGAAAAGATATACCTTTGAAGAGTTTCGAGAGTTTATCTACTCGCTGAGCCTGGCCATGGGCCAGGCTCGTCTGGTGCTTGCCTGGTCAACCAGGCTGTTGCTGCTGGAGGCCTGCTGCCCCACATATCCATCACAGCCTGGTTGATCTGGCACCTGGTGAAGATACTTGTCCAGTTTCCTCTTGAAGGCTTCTACACTTGCTCCAACAGTGTTTCGGATATTTTCTGGTAAGATGTTGAAAAGTCTGGGACCCCAGATGTTGATACAGTGTTCCCTTATTGTCCCCATCGCACCCCTGCTCCTCACTGGGTTTATTTTACACTTCCTCTCATATCTCTCACTCCAGTATGTTGTTATGGCAGTGTGCAGATTTGGGACCAAGCCCTGGAGTACCTTCCAGGTATATATTATCATGTACCTCTCTCTCCTCCGCTCCAATGAGTACATGTTCAAGACTTACAGGCATTCCCAGTAGTGTAGGTGCTTTACTGGCTCAATGTGAGCCGTAAATGATCTCTGTATTTGTTCCAGCCAATATTTCTCCTGCCTTGAACAGGGCTGTCAGCACTAAGCGATATTCTAAGTGAGGGAGCAATAGTGATTTGAAGAGTGTCACCATCGGCATTATTTCCCTTGTTTTGAAAGTTCTCAATACCCACCCCATTATCTTCCTGGCTGTCGTGATCTTTGTCTTGTTATGGTCTTTAAAAGAAAGGTCCTCTGACATAATTATTCCTAGGTCTTTTAAGTGTTCCTTACGTTCTATTTGGTGACCCTCCTGAGTTTTGTATATAGTGCTCCTTTTGAGTTCTTCATTCTTTCCATACCTAAGCAGCTGGAACTTATTACCATTGAATGTTATGTTGTTCTCCACTGCCCACTGGAAAACCCTGTTTATGTCTTCCTGTACTTTTTCCTCTACCGTACTGACTTTCATGCTTATTTTAGTGTCATCTGCAAATGATGATACAAAAGTGTGCCGGGTGTTTTTGTCTATGTCTGCTATGAGGATGAGGAACAGCAGAGGTGCCAGAGCAGTGCCTTGGGGCACAGAGCTTTTGACCTCGCTGATGCTGAATTTTACCCTGTTCACTACTACACTTTGTGTTCTGTGTTAGGAAACCGAAAACCCATCTGCCTACCTTTCCCGTAATGCCCATGGCCTTCATTTTGTGCGCTATCACTCCATGATCACATCTGTCAAACGCCTTTGCAAAATCTGTGTAAATCACATCTGCGTTTTGGTCATCTTTAGTGCCTCTGTAATTCTGTCATAATGGTTCAGCAGCTGTGACAGACATGATCATCCTACTCTAAAACCATGCTGGTTCAGGTTATGTTGGTTGTGCTGGTCCATGAAATTTGTAACCTGCCGTCTCATCACTCTTTTGAAGATTTTTATGATGTGAGAGGTTAAGGTTACTGGTCTGTAATTTTTAGCTAGTGGTCTACTACCTCCCTTATGCAAAGGAGCTATGTCTGCACTCTTTAAGGCCTCCGGTATTTCACCTAGATCTAAGCTCTTTCTCCAAAGAATACTGAGTGCTCGTGCTAGTGGTACTTTGCACTTCTTTATAAATAGAGCATTCCATGAATCTGGTCCAGATGCTGAGTGAGTGGGCATGTTTTCCATTTCTTTTTCAAAATCAATGGGATTTGTACTAATGTCAGTTAGTTGGTCTGTGCGGCCTTCTTTTCACATCCAACCCTTATTTTACTCCACATAATCCTTGAATTTATACATTTACATTCCCTCTTTTCCTGCCATAACTTATCCATCAACATTATTGCTACTCCTTCTTTAGCTCTAACTCTATTTGAAACCCCTGACCAAATCTCATTTATTTCTCCCCACTGAAACTCTCCCACCCCCTCCAGCTTTGTTTCACTTAAAGCCAGAACATCCAGCTTCTTCTCATTCATAACATCCATAGTCATCTTTCTTATTATTCACACAACATCCACGCACATTTAAACATCCCACTTTGACGGTTTTCTTCTTTTTCTTTTTAGTAGGCTACACGGGAAAAGTAATTATACTAGCCCATTGTTCACAGTATTTGAGTTGACTTTTACAACATGCATGTAAGCTTAAGGAGGAAAGATTCTTATTCCACTTCCCCATGGATATAAAAGGAAAAGTAATAAGAACAAGAACTATTAAGATAAAATCAAAGAAAACTCAGATGAATATCTTCTTCTTTCAACGTACCAGCCGTATCCCACTGAGGTGGGGTGGCCCAAAAGAAAAAACTGAAGTTTCTCCTTTTAAATTTAGTAATATATACAGGAGAAGGGGTTACTAGCCCCTTGCTCCCGGCATTTTAGTCGCCTCTTACAACACGCATGGC